ATAGTCTAAAGTGGTTCAGAGGCCCCCTTGGAAGTTAGCTGAGGCTTTCTGGTTGAGCACTTTTACAATGAAGGTGTAAGTGCAATGCATGTAAAGGGGACCATATATGCATATCCATCTGTGCTTTTGGAATATTCTGGAATGATTTGCTATTAAAAATGTGTTGTATCTTCCATAGGTCAAAATCAAACACTTACAGAAGGAAGACCTCTTAGAGATTCATTTGCATTGGCAGACGAAAGGGGTCGACCTTGTGGTTTTGTTTCATCCATATGCAAGCCACAGTGTTGTGGGTCAAAACCATTGATCTCGCACCGTTTATGCCTGCGCAGACGTGCTGCAATTCGAGTTTACGTAAAAAGTACACATGTGAACACGCGCTCAGATAGAACCGACCTTGCTCACATCTCCTGTCACATCTACATCCCTCCTTTGACCTCTGCTGGGGTCACAGTCCATTCCTGCGGTGGGCAGATTGCGTGTTTGGGGCAGTGCCGGGAACAGCTGTGTGGTTTGTAGTGACCGTGCTAACTGCTGTAGGCTTTGTAAGGTCATTATATGATAATGAAAATGATTACTGAATTACATGGGGGTTTAGGAGAAGAGAGGGGAGGGGAGTGAACGGTCTGAGTTTGATAAATGATCTCTGAAAATGCCCATCTGTCTCTACCCCCCTCTCTTTCAGTCTCTCTCTCTGTTATGTTCCCCTCTGTGTTTTTGCTTATTCTGTTTTTGGGTTTCTTGCATTATCACTCAATTACAAAAAGTGATAGAGTGAAAAATGGAGCAATAAGAGAGGTGTGAGAGGAAGTCTGCATCTGTGTGTATGTGTAGTGCTGGACTCTCAGTTAAACCACAGGAGAGAGAGCAGCCACCATTCATACTTTATCAGATAGTGGAAAAATGAACTCACCCTCCTCTAGATACACAAGATGTCTGTCAGGTTTAAGTGGACGGGGCAGATTTAGGGCATAATTTACTAAAGCATGTAGGTCATCCAAAACCAGCTTTTCATAGACTAAAAGAGCAGGAGAGCATGCACTTAGATGAATGGCTCTTATTAAACACTTAAGTTATTAATCATTTTATTTAAATCTGAAAAGATTTATGAACTGTAAAAGACTTCAGTTAATCTGTTCTCCGCTATATTTCCTTGTGTTACTTGAAAATGTCTCTTAAACATATTAGGGTAACACTTTATTTTAAGGTTTCCTTGTTACATGTGTTACATGTATTTACTAATACAATACCAATAGTGTGATATTTCAGTTTTTCTTTTTTAATAAATCTGCAAAAATGTCAACAATTCTGTGTTTTTCTGTCAATATGGGGTGCTGTGTGTACGTTAATGAGGAAAAAAATTAACTTAAATGATTTTAGCAAATGGCTGCAATATAACAAAGAGTGAAAAATTTAAGGGGGTCTGAATATTTTCCGTACCCACTGTACATGTAGGTAATTCATATTACTCAGTACTTAAATATATAATTACACTGTACACTATAAATAAAGTGTAACCCATGTAACACTTACGTGGTTCAATTAATCAACATTAATGAATGCATTAGATATAATATAGATCTGCATTTTTTACAGCATTTATTATTGCTGTTTATTTTTGAAATATTATTCTCTTTTCTCTTTTATCTTTTTAAATGTAATTTACTCCCGTGACGCAAAGCTGAATTTTCAGTAGCCATTACTCCGGTCTTTAGTGTCACATGATCTTTTAGAAGTCATTCTAATATGCTGACATTATACATTTTTACTGTCATTTACTGACACTAAACGTTTGAATGGTAGTGTTTGTAGAAATTAATAAAAGCTGTAAAAGTATAATGTATGAATTAACCGGTGTTAACTTATAGAACTTTATTATAGAGTGTTGAGTTAATCATTCAAGTGTTTGTTTGCGTTTGAGCGTGTGAGTGTTGCATCCTGGAGGCTGCAGCTGCCCTCATCACTCACCCTCAGTACGTGACCTTTGACCTCAGCCTCTGAATGTCTGTATTTTAGTGAGTGTCTCAGTGTGTTGAGTGTGGTATGACCTCTCGTACTTCACCTGGGTGGAAACCTTCTGAACAGAAACGCCACAGGCTGTCATCACACACTCACACACACACAGAAAGGTCATGGAGTTCAGAGGGCAAGCAGAAGTTTCTCCACAGACTAGAACATCAAACACCAAACATTACACACAGAGGCAAACATGATAGCTAACTCACCTATGTTTTGGCAATACAAACGAGGTCAGTGTTAATTCTTTACGAGTAATGTGCATTGAATAATTACATTGTTTTAGAGGAATAAAGTTATTAACATGTTACTTTTTGAATTAACACCATCATATTTAGTGCTTATAATGCACGCTTTGTATTATTCGATATATTTAGTCTCAAATGCAACCTTTTTCTTCCTCATAATTTACAGTACTCTGTCTTGCAAGCAAGTTCTTCTGTCACGCAGGATCTTATTCTTGTGCACAATCCTATTTCTCTTCCATTCCATTGGCTGAGACAAACATGGAAAAAGTAAATTAATGTGCAATCAAATTGATTTTATG